GTTTTGTCCATTTTTGTCCGTTTTCAGTGTGATTTTTAGTGTTTTTTTAAAAAGGTCTTAGGCTCTTGCAAGCATCTGTAACATAGTTTGCTTCAAAACCGTCATGAAAAACTCATGCAAACGTCCGGGATGCCGTTTTGCTGTCACAACTGGCATGCAGTGCGACAACTGCAAAGTTTGGTTCCACGAAACATGCACAAATCTGACAGCAACTGCTTACAACAAACTCATCAAGTCAGACCAAAAGTGGGTATGTGTCACGTGCAGCACGGACGCTGTAGTCTTGCTGAGTAACATCATTGTCCTACTGACAGGTCTTCGGAACAAGTTGTCAGTTAACTTGGAAAACGATAGTAAAAAAACCGATATACAAACAAGAGCGTGCAACGGACTCAAAAACAGGGATGTCGATAGGTATTCCATCGATGGAGCATCCGTCAACACTAATGAAGACGTGTCGAGGCTCAGTACCATCATTACGTCGGCGGTACTAGACTCCCTAGGCAAACTCGGGTCTCCCAGCTCAGGGTCCTCGAACACAACAGTGGTTCCCAAAAACCCTGTAGGTGACTCGACCCACGTTAAGAGAGCCCAAAAGAACCAGGCATCACCGCCTAAGCCGAGCAACCCAAGTGTTGCTGCACGGAAAATAACTGGTGATTTAGTCGCACAGTCTACCCCCAAGACTGTTCGTCCGGTCAATAAAGAGCCCAAGATTCATAAACGCACACTGACCTCCAAACAACAAGTTATTAAACCTGAACCCATCGTGAAACCTGGTAAATTAACAACAGTTCGTGACGATTCTCTCATTATCATGAACCTCGTTGACAATCCTGACCTTCCTCTCAGTCTGCAGGACAAAAACGACAGGATGCTGTGGGGTGAATTGAATAAGAAGCTCGAACTTCCTAGAATAGAGCCTTTGACGGTCACCCGGCTCACTCGAGGAAAGGATTCTAAGCATCTAAATCACCCGAGGCTTCTCCGAGTAACACTTAAGAATGCTACCGACGTAGAGGACGTCTTGCTAGCAAGTCACTTGCTGAAATCAGATGGTAACGTAAGAATATTGCCCGACATACCGTACTCTGAGCGCAATATCATACGAAACGTCCCTAAAGAATCTCGCGAGAAGTTTTTCCGCGGAAGAAACATAATTGTCCAAGGTATACCGGAAAATGTAGACCCTACTCAATCAAATTCTGACATCAGGGAATGGAAATTCATCAAACAGTCCTTGAGGCTCAAACACATACTGACTCAGCATGTGACGAGACTAGCCAAGAAGGACGGTGATCTTAGACCTCGTCTAATGAAGATAACCTTCCCATCTTCACACATGGCGGCTGCAGTTCTGGAAGCATTTCGTGCTAATAGACGTCGATTGCCACCTGGAATCCACATGCACCCGGATAGGCCATACGAAGTTAGGACCAAGAACAAAGGCAAGTTGGAGCTGACCATTCCACTTGTGGACTGTCTAAACGATAAAAAAACGTGTAAAGGACAGGGCCTACCACCTCGGCAAACCTCATATAGGTGGGCTACCTGTCCATTCACATAAGGTTCATACAGAAAAACAGGACGAAGCTCACGGGTTCCAAATTGAAAGCATAAACTGCTTATATATGAACGCCGCGAGTCTACCAAACAAACTGGATGAACTACGTGAACTTAGCAACGCTAATAAGGCCCATCTGATAGGAATATCTGAAACCTGGATATCTTCTCAGTTCTCGGACCAAGAATTAGCACTGCATGGGATGACTTTGTTCCGCAACGACAGAAAAACAGGAATTGGGGGCGGAGTAGCCATATACATAAGCTCTTGCTTGGAGGTGCACCAAGTTCACAACCTCGAGTTTAACAATCTTGAGGAATCCATATGGTGCTCTGTAAGATTGTCTAGTACTTCGAGGTGTCTAGTCGGAGCCATTTACAGGAAGCCAGCTGCCGACACCGAGTACGATAGTCGTATGCTGGAAGGACTATCCCGCTCTACCTGTCTCGGTTTCACACACATCCTGATTCTAGGGGACTTTAATCTCCCTGGAGTCAACTTCGCGGAACACACGTACACTGGAGGCGACAACTCAATTGAAGCTCGGTTCTTCAGCCTCATCGATGACTTGGGCTTATATGAAAATGTGAGGTCGGCAACTCGTTGGAGAAACAGTCAGACACCATCGCGCTTAGACTGTGTATTCACTAACGAAGAATTCCTAGTCGACAACCTCTCAATCCTGGCTCCCCTGGGAAAGAGCGATCATGCCGTCATAGCCTTCAGTTTTGTCATCAAAACTAAGCTAAGGTATCCCAACAATAATTTGCGTTGGAATTTTAAACGGCTGAATGTGCCAGCTCTACATGACTATCTACAACAGGTGGATTGGGATGTTCACCCTCAACTCGATGTGGATGGTCATTGGGACTTCTTACTGCACACGCTCTTATGTGCTACAGACCATTCAGTTCCTCAAACGGTTCCCAAAAGCTGCAAGCCACCTACAGTAATCAAGAACCGTACCCTTCGCCTGCTAAGCCGCAAACGGCACTGTTGGGCGGAATACAAACGAACTAATAACGATGGAGCGTATAGGCAATATAAACATATCAGGAACATATGCACGAAGGCTATAAGAGAAGACAGGCTTCAGTACCAAACAAAGTTTATGGACAAATTCGCCTCTAACCCTAGAAGCCTATTCTGTTATGCAGCCTCTCTTCGTCAAGCCAAAACAGGAGTTTCTCAACTGCTAGGTCTTAACGGCCCAACCAACAACGATGGCGACGCCGCTAACCTTCTGGCGGCACATTACTCTCAAACATTTCAACCGGCTGACATCAACTTTATTGACGACAGTTTCATCTCCAACTCCACAGGACTTTCTGAAGTGGACCTAAGCGCTGACTTGGTGTTCCGGAAATTGCAGCACTTAAGACTTGACACTTCTCCTGGCCCGGATATGGTTCATCCTGCCATACTGAGGGAGGCAGCCTCAATCCTGGCAACGCCGCTTAGCGTGATGTTTTCATACTCGCTTAGCCGAGGCAAATTACCGGAAAATTGGAAGTTGGCTCACATCACACCAATTTTCAAAGGTGGTCGACGCAATGAACCTTCAAGTTATCGGCCGGTGGCTCTTCTGTCATTACCTTCAAAACTCATGGAGTCCCTGATATGCGATGGTTTAAACGACTATCTACTGTCCTTAAATTTCTTCTCACCCCAACAGCATGGTTTCAGGAAGGGTTACTCTTGTATAACCAACCTGCTGACTGCGGTGGACAGATGGACAAGCATCCTCGATTGCAAGGGGAAGGTTGATGTCATTTACCTTGATTTCTCAAAAGCTTTTGATAAGGTTAACCACTTGTGTCTTATCAACAAGCTCAAACGACTAGGTATCAAACCACCTCTAATCGATTGGCTTACTTCATACCTAAAAAATCGACACTTTAAGGTTAGGGTTAATTTCACTTTATCTCAGGCTATGGAATGTCCTAGTGGGGTCCCCCAGGGCTCAGTACTAGGGCCTCTTCTCTTCTTGATCTACATAAATGATCTTCCTCAACAGGTAACGTCAGACTTACTACTTTTTGCCGACGACGTGAAACTTTGGAGAGAGATACGCAACCAAGACGACACACAGGCACTTCAGGAGGATCTGACGCGACTTCAAAGTTGGGCAGACGTTAACGGACTTACCTTTAACACTTCAACGTGTAAAGTAGTCCATCTGCGACATGTCGCAAACTACAGTTACAACTTAGGAAACTCCTCTCTAGTAGTATCCCAAGTCGAAAAGGATTTAGGAGTCCTGATGCCCCATGACTTAAAGTCTTGCGCTAACTGTGACAAAAATGCCTTCCGAGCAAAACTTGCACTGGTAACGTTGAGGCGCATTTTTGGCCAGTTTGACGGAAGAACTTTCCACACAATCTTCAATAGTTTCATCCGTCCCCATTTAGAGTACGGAAACATAGTTTAGATGGTGGTTGGAGGTAGTCAACAGGAAACCCTGGATTCGGGTTTCGTGCTACTTGGCACTCGTCAACAAGGTGTACCTGTAATCTTGAGGGAACTGGTGCTCCCTGGCGGATTCGATCTCGTGTCACCCAGCTTCACAGTCAGAGACGTTACCACTGAGCTATCCGAGCCGTGACTGACCTCCTGTAGGACTGAGATGTAATCACAATTGATTGATCACTGGGTGGTGATCAATCTCATGCTTGTCTAGTCCTTATTAGTGCAGATCGAATGCTATCGATCATGTTGCAATGTGGCCACCAGTCTAGGTGACTCGACACTGCGGGCACTATGTATTGAGATTAGATGGTGGTTGGAGGTAGTCAACAGAAACATAGTACTCCCCCCTCACTCCAAAAGGACAAGGTCACTTTTGAGCGTATCCAACGGCGAGCCACGAAATCAGTTCGAGGACTCAAATCTAAGCCTTACGAAGAACGCCTCTGTTCACTAGACCTTTACCCACTAGAATATAGGCGTCTTAGAGGTGATTTATTAATGGCTTATAGTATTCTTAACACTTCTGGACATCCTCTTAAACACCTACTTAAGCTTAGTTCGAATAATAACCTAAGGGGTAACACCCAGAAACTGGAAACACAACATAGCAAGACGGAATGTAGACACAACTTCTACTCCTTAAGAGTTGTCAAAAGCTGGAATTCGCTGCCGGCCGAGCTAGTCCAAGCGACTTCTCAGGAGTCCTTCAAGAGGCAACTTGACCTATTCTTAAGGACCAAGGACAGCATCACATTATGATTTACCAATTTCTTTTCCTTTTTTATTGTTAACATACCTAGGTTCCTGCCTGGAGGATTTGGTGATCCCCTGCTACTAGACACGGAAGCTTGTTAAGCGAAAGCTTCTTCTATTCCGTCCACAACCACTTGAACCATTTGAACCATTTTGTTTTAACCGCTTAACATGACAACAAGAGTTGTCATTTTTTCGAAAATTTGAGGCAATTATGTGTCCATCTGGACGAAATCCGCACCCACCAATTGCACTTGAAAATGATGATACTTTGACGCGGTTGCCTAAAAAAGAGGTATGTACATCAATAGATCTTACTGTAGTGAAGCACAAAGTATTCAGTCTTCCTCCGCATTTGGCACGTTTGGAAGATCCTTGGAATAAACTTTGCACGCACCATACTCTTTCTAGTCTCAGACATACAGTAAGTTAAAAACGTAAACGTCGGTGTATACGAAAGGTCGAATATTTCGATCCAGAGGCTCCAAACGATGATCTAGATTTCAGGTTAAAAGCAAACTATGATCAGCATATCTATTGGTGGAAGTCCAACGCTGAGGCTTTGATACAACTAGAAACATTAAATAAAACAAAGTATGATCAAATATATGTTTTTTCTTGATGGTCTATGCACCGTTTTAAAATCCGTTTTCTTAAATTTTTAAATGTAATCTTCCGAGTTTCGGGAAATTATGTCAGCTTTGTAAAAATTTCAGCTTTTGCTCAATAACTCACCAAAATCACTTCAAATTTTGGGGAAAAATACGAGTTTGTATGCGATGTTTCGGAAAACACTGAAATTTCCTTATGATTGGCAAACTGGAAAACAAGTGTGTTGAAGTATAATAAGAATTTATCATAATAAGATGAAAAAGAACTTATCAAAGTGGACTAACAAGCAATTTTGGAGACTTATTCTCGTTTACGAACACTTCGTCATTTGGGGCTGCCCTTGGATTTTGATTTTAGCTTCTATGATTTTGTGCCATACGAAACGTAATACTAATTTGCGCTTTCCTAGACAAGAGATATGGCTTATAGGTAGATCAAACTAGAATGGTAACGTAAAATACTAGTCTTATTCTTCTAAAACTGATACGTGTCAACGTTTTTTGATGTTTGTCTCGCAAACCAAAGCGTGCTAAATATTTAGTTAATTTGGCATATGAAGAGCATGTGGACGGATGTTTTTACGATTAAGCTATATTATGCCCTGTCTTTAAACATGTAAGTCTCTGTACCGTATTTTGAAGAAAAAGATTGAGATATACTAAGCGTATAAGGATATAACTGGATAAACTATTGCAACGTTACTTCTAAGAATATGGTTCACGTCAGAGTTTTTAACCAACGAAATTGTGTTGATAAAGTTTCTTTACGACGAAATCGTTTTGGATATTGACTCATAACCAAGGAGTGGATTGTGCATTATCAAATTAAACCTACTCAAGTCCACAAACTCTATGACGAGGCATAAAAAAGAACCGGATAAAGAGAGGGGAAAGTTAAAACAGCCTGTTACTCCTCGTGAAGGAGCATAGGCCGCCCACCAGCATTCTCCATCCAACCCTGTCCAGGGCAATCTTTTCTAGCTCCTTCCAGTTGTAATTCATCTTTTTCATATCTGCTTCTATTATCCGGCCTGTAGCGGTAAATAAATCCCCAAAATAAATAGCCCTAAATTTTTGACATTGGATGCTGACCATATGTTTTAGTGGACTCATCTAGCTGAAGGCGCTCGGTCATGAATCCGCACCAGATCACGTGTGGTAACGCCGTGCTCAACATCAACCGCAATCGCTAGCCAGATTAGATAAGATAATTCCGATATATTGGTCATCACCAAATATACTCTTCCGATCTCCTCGACTCTGTCTTTTGATTTCTCTGGGCGGGAACGAAATATATTAGAAGGTGTTACTGGTAGAAGCGTTGTCAAACACTGAATACCTGTGACATCATCATTGGTGAGCCCGACGTTATCTGGTACACCTATTTGCAACTGTGAGTCTGTTCCTTTTTGGGATTTTTATATATGATTGCCTTATTTTTTTTTAAACATTGTGTTTTTTTTCGTAATTTTTCTTGGATATATATATATTTTCCCCTCGTTCATTATCGTACTTCATACTTCATCATGACTGAACAGACACCTAAAGTACTCAAGCTTAAGACTTTGTCCCCGCCTTCGTTTCAACTGATGCCTTTCTGGCCCGACAACATCGAAGCTTGGTTTTGCTACGCAGAAGCCGACTTCTACGAGCACGGCGTGATCGACACACGTGCACAGTTCCTCGCAGTAGTCAAGGCACTACCGCGCGAATTCAACAGGTACGTAACACCTAGTATGTTTACTAGTGATGTTTCTGAACCTTACGAAATCTTAAAACGTTCGATTCTTAAAAGAGGAGACCTAACCGATCGACAAAGGTTAGATCAACTCTTCAATAACATCGACCTGCAACACGGTTCTGCGACAGACATGTTGCAACGGATGAGAGAGGTTATAGGCCCAAGAACTTTCGACGAAGGTCTATTCAAACAACTCTTCTTGTCAAAACTTCCCCAACAGGTACAAGCAGTTCTGGTCTCGTTTCAGAACAATGCCTTAGACGAGCTAGCTGCATCTGCCGACCGCATTTTAGAAATTACGAAACCTTCTACTACCGAGGTATTTTCAGTCACAGAAAAACCTCAAACGACTCAGAATGATATAACCGATTTATGTCATACACTCACGCGTTATCTTAGTCTTCGTACCGACCGTAAGAGATCGCGCACTCCACCATTAGAGACAGATAACCCCGACTGGTGCTGGTATCATAACCAGTATGGAAAGTTTTCCAGAAAGTGCAGAAAACCCTGCAATTTTCCCAGCACGAAACCGACTGACTCGAAAAACAACTCGAGAAACTTCCAAGCCGGCACGCGTTAACGGCAACCGTAGCCGTCGAACATAGCCGTCTGTTATACGTCACAGATGTGACAACGAGAGTTCGCTACCTCGTCGATACTGGCGCAGAAGTTAGCGTTCTCCCAGCTAATCCTAACGATCGGCTTCAAGATTCGGCTCTAAACTTACAGGCGGCAAACGGAAAAACCGATCGCTACGTATGGCAAAAGGTACGTTTACCTTAACGTGGGTTTGTAGTGGCATTGGACAATAGCCACACAATCCACAAAGCTGTGAACACAAGACTACTCAGAAAATAGATATTCAATATTTAACGCGGAGAAATACCTAACAATGGAGAAGGCGCGAACAATGAATTGAATGGACTGGAGTTGATCGAGTGGCATGGCTCGGCCATGCAGGCGTGGTCTCTATTCATATTAAATATATTGTTCCTTCTCTAACTTAACCTTGTCCTTCATCATGTATTGGTAATTGATACGATACAGTGAGTTGGCGTAGTCGATGGTGTGACTTCCACGTAAGATCTTATAGATTAGGCAGTTATATCATGACGAATCTACAAATTTAGGATTAGGTCTATTATTAGAGCAGTACTAATATCATATTAGACCATAATTCTACATTGGTGAGCCCAACTAAAGAAACGCAACCTATTATTATTAATCCTTATTACCACTTCAACTTTCTCGATCGATTTTATATTTATGTTAACCCTGTATTCCAATAGTCCTCTGATTAATGCTCACATGCATTATCGTGATGTTATATTGATTAGTCCTCATGACAAACTAGCTCAATCGATAATAAAAACTGGTCGTCTATATTAACTAATTAGCTTTGATGATTTGTTAACAAGCTGTAATAGCATTTACATGCTTCAGCGACATAGTCTTGTTTAAACATCAAGCTCTAGCAAATATGACCTGTAAATAGCGTAAATATACATTGACTAACAATGCGATCAAGGACTAAATAGTTATCTGGATCTAATTCTCAGTGTTCCTTCGCTTAACACCTCATCCTGTTTTAAACGATGCACTATCCTGTAATATCTTTTCTTCCGACCACTGCCTGCCTAATTTCATATTCTCGAGTTCCATTGCCAAACAACGAGGATGACTACTCCAAAAACATACGGTGAGTTCCAGCTATAAGTTTTCTGCAATCATAAGTTCATTTTAGATGGCACACACACAATTATCTGGATTCTTTCGATTGTTCTGATCAGAGCGAGTCCCAAAGACCTCAACAGCATCAAGCACCCTGGAAGTGATTGCCATACTGTATGTTTTATTCTGGATGCTTTTGGATCATTACTACTCCTCACGAATGGCGTTATATATGTCGTCCACTGAATAATCTAATTTTCAAAAATAATCCAGGCGAGTTCAACTATTTTACTTAATGATTTTTTTTGTACTTAACATGTATATGTTTTCCAGTTGTTTTTGCCATATATTTGTCAGTGTCTCTAGGCTAAATGCAGGAATTTCTCATGGAAAGTTTATAATGCGTTACATCCCTGCTTGAAGTTTCATAAGCAGTCTTGACTTTAAAATTACTTTTCCTGATCATGTTCATTATTTTTAAATTGTCATATACGTCAAGAACCTGCATGTTAACCTGACCCACATACGCGTTGCACTATATCTTCATGTTTTCTAAATTTAGAAATCTTCTGAGTCGTCTTTAATATTTATCAGTAAACCCATCATAGTCGTTGTTGCTAATCGTATTTGGGTTTATGAATTGGTTTATCATATTACCAGCCTAAAATGCGAACATAGTTTAGATAATAAGATTAAAAATTTAGGTACTGTCAACTGCACTAATAAAATAACTAAATCCCCAGGTAGCTGTTGGCTAAACAAACGTTTAAAATCAAAACTCCGTAGCCTACTAAAATTAACACTAAACGAATATTTCTGAATTGAAATTTATAATTAAATTAGGCGTCTCGGATTCTTTAACGTTATAAGTTTCTGATGATTTCGAATCACCTAAAGCAACAATACCTATTTTTCCACTGACTAATCCTCAATCAACACTATAACTAGCTAAACGTAATAGTTTCAGGATATCGTCATAAAGCATTGTCATAACTTGACAATCACGTAATATGACTGATAAAATTAATGAAACTATTAACGAAATCGGTCAACAAATTGACTTATAATTACCATTACATGGTGTTGTTTTCTTGGTATCTTCATCCATCACAGATGATTACAGTATGTTTCTCTCTCAGTTGCTCATTCAGTAAATATCTCAAAACCTTGTCAGTCTAATTGATGGTTTAGCGACACAATCATGCATGCAAATAATCAGTATAAGCAGTCGAGCAAATCTCCTGCAAACTGAAAACATCAATGTCGAATTTACCCCAACACTGACTAAGGTTCAAGCAATTATCATAGACATGAGTTGGGAGTGTACTCCCCCTGGTTACAACTTATGTTCTCCCTGATAATCACATGAGCATCACTCACTATTAATCATCTTGTAAAGACTTATTTAGCTAAATACATCTTGCAGCACCACATCACTTCGTAATATGACACAGGTCTAACTGATTTTAATAACTTGTAACCACTATATCTCAATTGAATCGTATTCCGCCTTATGATAAACTGCATACTTGCAACTAACTTGTATGCCCAATCAGCCGGCGAGTATA